TAGATGCCTTGGCTGGTCGAACTCAATGGTTTGGACGTGGTAGCAGAATCGTTGCGGTTACAAAAGATAAGCATCTTTTGCGAGCTCATGGGATTGATTGTATTTACAATGTTGGTCTCCCATCTGAAAATCAAGCTCTTCAGATTTTTTGTCGATATGCTTTCAGGCAAGATTCTCCACCTGATGGTTTCATGGGTCTTGCTTCTGAAGTAGAAAAGCGTGCAGGTAGTCTTCCTTTGGGTCTTAAGGTTTTGGGTTCGTATTTGCGAGGAAGGAACAAAGAGGATTGGATGGATATGCTGCCTAGGCTTCGTAATACGCTCAATGGAAGCATCGAGAAGACTTTGAGAGTTAGCTATGATGGGTTAGATAGTAAAGAAGATAAAGCGTTATTTCGTCACCTTGCATGTCTCTTCAATGGTGCAGAAATCAGTTACATCAAACTTGTCCTCGCGGATAGTGATATGGATGTTAATATAGGGCTAAAAAACTTAGTTGATAAATCCCTCATACATGTAAGAAGGGATATTGTGGAGATGCACTGTTTGGTACAAGAAATGGGTAAAAAAATGGTTTGTTCACAGTCTAACGAACCCGGGGAACGCGAATTTTTGTTGGATCCAATGGATATATGCGATGTCCTTGAGGATAACACAGTAAGTAGTCCTTTGATCATTCACAATATATGATTCAGTAACTGTGTTTTGTCTTCACTTGTTAACATGATGATTTTGTCTATTTTAATATTTTCAGGGTACTAAAAAGGTCTTAGGTATATCGTTGGATATGTCGGGGATTGATGAGTTGCGCATACATAAGAGAGCCTTTGCAAAGATGCGTAATCTCTTTTTTCTCAAGATAAACAAGAAGCCATTTAAAAAGGTCAGATGGCACATACCCGAAGGCTTCAACTATTTGCCCCCTAAACTCAAAATACTAAGCTGGAAAGAATATCCATTAAGATGTCTGCCTTCAAACTTTTGTCCTCAATATCTAGTAAAGCTAAAAATGCAGAACAGCAAGCTCAAGAAGCTGTGGGAAGGAGTTCATGTGAGTTTTTGAAAATAAAAAAAATGCTGGTATATTGATGAATATCTTTCTTGTTGCTTGTGTAACATATTTTTTACTTGCTCTGTTTTTGTTTATTTGTTTAGGCCCTCGCATCCGTAAAACGTATGGATTTTTCGGGATCTAAAAGCTTGAAAGAAATCCCAGATCTCTCACTGGCCAACAATCTTGAGAAATTGTTGCTTAGAGGTTGCTCGAGTTTGGTAAGAATTACTTCCTCTATTGGGCATCTCCATAAACTGTGGCTGTTGGACATGAGTTGGTGCACAAAGCTTGAGGCCCTTCCATCGGGAATCAACCTTAGATCTCTGAATAGGCTTGATCTCGGTGGATGTTCACGGCTAAAAGAATTTCCTGATATCTCAAGTAACATTTCAAAGCTTGATCTAAGCGGAACAGCAGTTGAAGAATTCCCTTCTAACCTGCGTCTAGAGAATCTCGAAACTCTTAAGATGAAAGAAATCAAGAGTCATAAACTGTGGGAAGGAGCGCAGGTAATGGTATCTCCATTGACTTTATAACAAAATATTTATCTTCAAACCAACACTTTGGACTTGTTTTTTTGTTTGTTATTGTTCAGCCGCTTACATGCCTCAAAACATTAGATTTGTCGGGATCTGAAAAGCTTCAACAAGTCCCAGATCTTTCTTTGGCAATTAATATGGAGTGCATGAATCTTGGGGGTTGCTCTAGTTTGGTGGAGCTTCCTTCTTCCTCTATTAAGAATCTTAAAAACTTGGCATATTTGAGCATGGAAGATTGCACTAAACTGGAGGTTCTTCCAACTGACGTCGACCTTAAATCTCTTGACTGCCTCAATTTTGGCGGATGTTCAAGGCTGAGGATATTTCCAAAGATCTCAAAAACAATTTATCTTCTTATTCTAAATCAAACAGCGATTGAAGAAGTTCCTCGGTGGATCAAGACCTTCTTTAGGCTCAGATGCCTACGTATGAAGGAATGCAAGAATTTAAGATACAGACCCTCCTTTTCTAGGATGCAACATCTTAAAGAGTTTGACTTTTCAGGCTGTGGGGATATACAGACTAAGTATGTCACGGGATGGGAGGTTTTAGAATTTGAGGGCTTCGATCTCGGCCAACACATACAGCCAAAAAATATCCTTGATATGTTAAGTAACATTTCAAGCCAACATCTAATGATTGAAGAATTCCCCTCGAACCAGAAGGTGTGCCATGGAGTGCAGGTAATGGTTATTTTTAAGACTTGGTTAGAGAAACAATTAAACTTGTACAAGCGGGAGTTTATATACAAATATGTACAGCGTCTAACGCTTAAAGAATTAAGAGTCATACGATCGTTATAGTTGTATATAGTTTACACCAGTACAGTTTATACTTTTATAGCATATACTCTCTACATATCTGTATCTAATCTCAATCCCCTTCAAATGAAAAAAATCAAGAGTCAGAAGGTGTGCCAAGGAGTGCAGGTAATGGTTAGAGAAACAAATTAAACTTGTAATCTAGATTAATTAATGAGTAATTGTACATGTGGGAGTTTATATACAAATATGTAGAGACTATCTAATATAATAGTTTAAGGTTTTTTATAAGTGAAGTTTTAAGAAACTGCTATGTGCCATTTTTAGTGTTAATAAATTTTCATTTTTAGTACCTTCTTTTTACTTAGTTTTGACATTTGTCCTTCTAAATTTACTGGTATATCAATATTTTGATAACATGAAAAAAATTTATATACTTTAAAATAATTCAAATAAAATAGTTTGAAATTATTTTCAAATTTTGAATCTTTACTTTTATTATATTGTAAGATCAAATTAACTCTGTAATTAAAACTACAGTCCAATAAATACACTTTTTAAAACTTAAGGAAACATCTAAAGGGAAATTTTGTAACGTCTGGTATTAAATATCAATAACTGATATAACAATTTTGTAAGTTTAGGCCAAACTTAACTCATCTTGACACACCATTGGCAATTTTGTACTACATTTTTTCTCTATGTAATGAATATTAGAAAATGCAATTTTTTAAAAAATATTATGAACTTTATTTATTAATAGATAAAAAATAGTTTTGAGAAAACTAAAAAAAAAAATTATGTCACATACGATCTTGATTTTTATATAGAGTATTTTATGT